AGTGTGCATGTTAGTAACAGATTTAACACCAAGCCTATTTCTCCTCACTGGAATGAAGCTGTTTCACTCTTACGAAAATATTTTCCTTCTTGTCCATGATCAAAGCAAAAGGAAACTGGCAGCATAATTTCCAAAATATTAACTGTGATTGAACTAAGTTTATTAGTTTACAGGTGTCTTTGGAAGAGGTAAGAGGAAATTCAAAACAGAGAAGAAGGAGAGGCTGACAGAGTCATGGCCAGGAATAGAGGTCATTGTCAATGTCTAGGGGGACATGGACAGTTAATATTTGACTTCCCCTTGTTATTTAAAAGAGTGTGACTATGAATTAAAAAGTGTGATGTTCTGTACTAGCCTTGTTAATCTTAGAAAAAACTTCTTAGATGATTCAGGAGTTGGATTGTCTCATACCCACAATATGGATGGGATTATATATTGAGTCTGAGTTTATGTAAGCCAAAAGCCTTGAGAATATGTTTACCTGTTTCTGCAGAAATTTAAGCTTAGTATTTAATCCTGTGGTACATTAGGAATATATTCAGAGGTTATATGTTAAAATAACAGTTTGGATCGACATTGGGGTCTAGGGAGTAAAACTTTCAGTGCTGCAGTATTAGCAGCTCAGATGGTGGCTAGTCGGAGACCCAGTTACTCCTCTTTCAATCCAGCTCCCTACTAAGGAATCTGAGAAAGCAGCAGCAGATGGCCCAAGTGCTTAGCTCCTTTCATTCACATGTGACACAGAAGAAGCTGCTGGCTCCTGGCCATTTGAGGAGTGAACCAGCAGATGGAAGATCTCTTTAACTCTCACTTCTAAATAAATAAATATATTTTTTTAAATACAGATTTAAATTATAAATTATCTATTTTCAACACAATAGAATTAATTATATACATTGTGATCTGTGTAGTAAACTACCATCAATGGTTAATAATCATGACGATGCGTAAGAGATGAGTATTAATGGCTTGAAGTGCTCTGATATATTACTAAGTTACAGAGGTGGAAAAGAAGAAAAAGGAGTATTATACATGCTCATATTTTTATTTACACAGAAATAAAAACTATGATAAAATGTACCAAGTGGTCTAAGTGGTTATTTTTGGGAGGTGGGTAGTAAGTGAACATTCTTCTCTTTTTTCTTCGCAATTTTATTCTTTTCTTCCTCTTTCTTCATTTCTTCTTCTTTCCAAGCATTTGACAATATGAACAAATCACATTATTGTGGAGCAGCTGGGATGCCAGCACGACAAGTAGAAGCTTAGGCTGATAGGTCACGGCACTGGTCCTATATGTTTTTTTTTTTTAAGATTTATTTTATTTTTTTTTAATTGGAAAGTCAGATATACAGAGAGGAGGAGAGACAGAGAGTAAGATCTTCCGTCCGATGATTCACTCCCCAAGTGAGCGCAACGGGCCGATGCCATGCCCCTCTGAAGCCAGGAGCCTCTTCCGGGTCTCCCACGCAGGTGCAGGGTCCCAAAGCTTTGGGTCGTCCTCAACTGCTTTCCCAGGCCACAGGCAGGGAGCTGGATGGGAAGCGGGGCTGCCGGGATCAGAACCCCCGCCCATATGGGATCCCGGGCTTGCAAGGCGAGGACCTTAACCACTGCACCATGGCGCTGCCCCCCCCTCCATGGTTTTATTTTAAACTTTAACTGATACATTTTATAATTTGTAATTTGTAATTGATCCTTAGGTGACCTAGATCGGAAAAGAAACACTTGTGTTCTTGTCTTTTCCACTTGATGTTCCCTTTTCTTTTCACGTTCCTTTCCTGCACAGAGTGGGGAAAAAAATGGGAAAGAGAAAGACAGCATCCCACTAACAAGCATTTCGAAGGTATATCTAATGAAACATTCATTCAATTTATATTGCTCAGGAAATGCATTTTTCTTTCTTTTTTAAAGGATTTATTTATTTTTATTGGAAAGGCAGATTTACAGAGAAATCAGGCACAGAGAAAGATCTTCCATTGCCTTCTCACTCCCCAAGTGGCCATAACCACCAGAACTGAGCCAATCTGAAGCCAGGTACCAGGAGTTCTCATGGGATGCATGGTCCAAAGGCTTTTTGCGCTGTCCTCGACTGCTTTCCCAGGCCACAAGCAGGGAGCTGGATGGGAGATAGAGCAGCAAGGACATAAACTGGTGCCCACATGGGATTTGGCATGCAAGACCAGGATGGATTTATTTGGCCACTGAGCCATTGCGCTGGGCTTGGAAATGCATTAAATAATTTGTTTAACTTGTTTTGATAATTGATGGAGTATTTGGTAGACCAACGATTCAGATATTTGTTTTATAACTGTTCCATGGGATTTAAATAACACTTATTCTTGTAATAGTTGTGAAGAAATTAGTCTTTACTATAACATGTAACACTAAAACAATTCACAACTTTTGTAATATAATGTTATAATAAACTAATAAATGTATCTAATTAATGTCTGGATAAACAATTTCACAGAAGTCATGTTTAAAGGCCAGGCTAAGAGATGTGGTAACAGAAAAAGAAAATAGCAACATTCCACAGTGATCAAGGTTGGTAGTCTTGTGATACAATCTTGTCTGGATTGTAAAAGAGTGCACTACTTATTACAAATTGGGACATATTGGGGGTTGAGAGTGGTAGAGGCAAAACATTAGTTATGGTGGTTATATTGTACATAACTGAATATGGTTCAACATAGAATAAATGCCCCGAGTTTTGAGAATATTAAGCTTATGGTAGATGAGTGGGATTTTTGCTACAGTAAATACATTTGGAAGAAATCTTTATAAACAAAAACAAAAACAAAAAACAACCTAATCTACGCAATCATGATTGCATTTTCATGCATTTCAGCAGGGTAAAGAAAGTGCCTCAAACCTGCATTTTTAAATTGACTTCCAGAGTGCTAGGGACCTATTGGTCTCTGGCAGAATTCAAGGGCTGCTGGTTCAATGATGCAAGCAGGTCTGAGTCTGTACGTGTTGAGTGCAGCTAGAGAATCAAATACGGCTGTGTTTTCACGAAAGCCAGGTGAATCCCACTGAGAAGTTACAGCAAAGAAAACATGTACAGTCAAATAACAGAGCATGAGTCATTTCAGGGGTCCCAGCCATGACACCTAGCTGGTTTGATGTCAGAGAAAGCCACTTCCAGGATGCAGGGAAATCTAACAGGGAACAAAATGAAGGAAAATGAGAGTTACAAATGTGTGTGGGAAGGGGCTTCACGAATCATAGAACCTTGAGAGGTTTGGTTCCTATAGATGCTGGGGTTTATGTGTTCCACATTTTTCCTGGTGGCTGTCTTATCTATTGCTTCCAGATAGTGGGTGACTTTCCCATCTCTTTGGAAAGAGTAGCATAGCCACCAGTGGGGATCAGCTGGAAATACCAGTTACCAGGAAGTCATTTAGCTAAGACGGAAAAACAAATCCCTGAATAGCATTTAAACTTCAAAATAAGAATTTTCCATTCTCTAATCAGAGATAAGAGACAGGGCATTAAGGCTGATCAAACGCCACCCTCTGGGGTTCAGTGGCACATCAGACTGGCGATAGCCTTTGGTGCACAATCACCTTTACCGTATTTACACCTGACTTGGACAATATTTTAGAATAACCCAATAATGACAACATCAACTTCAAGATACAAACTATCCTCCACACTTCACAGTTCCTTCCCATTCCACGAATGTGTACATCGAATTCCCTCTCAAGATAAAAAGAATCAGGGGTGATTTCCCAAAAATGTTTTCATTGGCTTTATGGAACTAAAACACATCACTGTCTGGGTGACTAACACTTCCTCTAAAATAAAGAAAGATTAACACATAATTAAGTTCTGGCTCAGATATAATTGTTGTGTTGGAAACAGTTGGGAGGGGGCGAGAATATGGCTATGTTAATGAAACTCTCCATTATTTCCTCCAATAATCCAGTTGCTTAATTACACAGGCCACCTTAGACCGTGTGTCACTCCTTGAAAAGAATTAAAAGAAATTAAAAAAAAAAAACACTTCCTGAGAAAGAAAAAGAACTAAATCTTAACTTCAGATATTTATCGGCACTTGCAAGGGTTGTAGAAGTAGCCTTCTGCATGGTTTACGGGGTTCACTAATCCTTCCTGCCTCTCTCTCTCTGGAAAACAGAGTCGAGTGTACACAACGCTTTGCAAATTGGCCAGCGCTATTTCTTTAGCGCCACGGCGCGAGCAGCTGGCGAGCTGTAGCTGCAGATCCAAACATTCCGCCGTGTTGTAGGAAGTTCTGGAAGCGCAGCCCAAAGGAAAGCCGGCCCATTTCGAAGAGCTTTTGTTGAGGCCGAGTGAGAACTCCGGACGCCAGAGCGCATCTGGGCTCGGAGCTCACACCCACCCGGGAGTGCGCGCGAGGGTGTGCGCGGTGCCTGCGCGCGTGTGTACGTGTGGGGAGGTGTGCGCCAAAGGGGTGGGGTGAGGGGCGGCTGCCGGGGCTCTAGGTGGAACGCCAGCAGAGGGAGGTCGCCCGCTCCGGCCTCTCCCCGAGGGGCTCAGGCGGCTCTCTGGCGCACGGGCACCTCCTGGCGCGCGCCGCAGACCCCTCGACCCTTGGACCACCGCCCTGCGGCCGCCAGTCCGGCCGCCGGGAACGGCGATGGCTCGGGACTGACGGCCGCCGCCCCCCAGGACCCTTCCGCCCCGCCGGGGGCTGGCGGCCCCGTCACGACCTGCATGTGGGGCGGGCGCACCCGTTCCCGAAGCCAGCGACCCTCGGCGCCCCCCGAGGCTGTGCTCGGCCGCGCCGGAGAAGGAACCGGAGGCGCGGCGGAGCGGGCCGGGCTCCCCACGTACCGCGGCCCGGGAGCACGAGCTCCCCGGAGGGAGCCTGGGGCGTCCCAGCCCCGGAGGAGGGACCCGGAAGCAGAAGCGGAGCCGCGAGTGGAGCCGAGCCGCTGCCCCCGCTGCCCGCCGGCGCCGGGTGGGGGTCCCGGCGGCTGGATGGGCAGCGGCGGCGCGGGCCGCCGGCGGCGATGGGCGAAGAGCAGAGCACCGTGAGCGGCGGCGGCGGCGGGCCCCAGGAGGCGCGGGCCCAGGCCGGCGGCGCCGCTGGCCACCGCGATCCCCCGCGGCTGAGGGGGGACGGCTCCGGAGCCCCTGGGCCGCACGCCGCCTCTGCCGAGCCGAGTGGCGGCGGCTGTGGAAGGGACTGGGGCTGCGCGGACACCAACTCCCCGGAGCCCGCGAGGCGCCAGGGAGCCTGGGACTGGAGGAAGAGTCAAGCACTGGGCCGGCCCGTGGGACTGGCGCTCCCGGGGCCTCTCAACCCCCAGACTTTGCAACTGCAGCTGGAGCAGAAGCAGGAGGAGGAAGCTGGTGACCCAAAAGAGGGAGAGGATAATGAGCAGGAAGCGCCCCTCGGCGAGGAGCCGGAGCCCAGCAGCTTAGCGGGAGCCCCCGGAGAACTGATCCTGGACGTGCTGGGGCAGCGGCCTCCGCCCCCTTCCAAGAGGCAAGTCTTCTGCTCCGTGTACTGTGTGGAGAGCGACCTGCCCGAGGCCCACGCCGCCGAGCCACTCTCGTCGCCAGCGTCCCCACCTCGGGCTTCGCCCGTGCCGAAGCTCCCCAGCCCTGTCTCCTCCTTCCCCAGCCCCCGGCTGTCCCTGCTGGCGGATCCCTTGTCCCCCGACGGCGGCAGCATCGAACTGGAGTTCTACCTGGCGCCGGAGCCGCTCTCCGTGCCCAGCCTGTTGGGAGCCCCACCCTACCCGGGCCTGGGCGGGGTGGGCGATCCCTATGCGCCCCTCATGGTGCTGATGTGCCGGGTGTGCCTGGAAGAAAAGCCCATCAAGCCCCTGCCCTGCTGCAAAAAGGCTGTATGCGAGGAGTGCCTCAAAGTCTACCTGAGCTCGCAGGTAACGTCACCCAATTCCTCTAACCCTTTCGTGCTCCCCTGTTTTCGCCCCTACACAGCTGTGGAGGGGCACTGTTAGTGGCTTCCCAGTCCGTGATGCCTGTCAGCTACCTGTGCCTGTGCCTGTGCTTGTGCATAAGTGGAGCTGAAGCCGACTCTGAGCATCCTTGCTCGGCAGCCGAGAGTGTACCCTAAGCCATGAGTTGCCCCTCAGCGTGCTTCTCGGACTAGATGGCAAGCCCGGGCACGCTGGAAGGACTCGGGCACTGGACTGCCTCATTGGCCTGGGATCCCAGAAACTCCCAGACAGTGGGTATAAAATAAATATTGACAGAGCCGGCTAAGGAAAAGAGTTGGGATTAATATTTCAGGTCTGTAATAATCAGACTTTTATATTTTGTTCCTTATAGTGGGTCCGGGAAAGTGTACATTTTGAAAATATATTTCTTGGCTCTTCTTACTTTCCGTTTTCTTTTTTTCCACTGCAAAGTTGAAATAACTTTTCTTCCCTGAAGTTTTTAAGCCAGCACGGTCTTTTACTTCTGCAAGAGGGACACAGAACAGAAAGTACAAAACAAACTGAAGGGAGGCTAAGAGGTTGGACGACACACGCAGTGGTGGAACTTTCTTCCTTGGCCTCTTCTTGGAGAGCTGGTGGATTTTTTTCTTGGAAAGTTTGAGAAACAGACCTGCTTTCCTTCACTAAGTGTGAAGACATTCTCCCCCAGCAGTTTTCTATCTGGGATGTTCTGCCAGTGTGTGTTTTTGCACAACCCAGAATGCCCTTTGAGCCCATGTTTTGATTGTCCTAGGCCTATTCATCTTTCAAAACCCTGTGTGTTCAGGTGCCAGCTCTCCCATGTAGCCTTGCCCCATCCTCAGGGACGCTGCTTATATACTTTCAGGATGCTTCTAGAAACCTTGCACGTGCTGGAAGTTGTTCCTTCTACGTCTGTTCTTCCGGCTAGGCTATCTGGACAATGTCTTACCTTCTCGCAGTTTCACACGGAGAGCTTTTCACATGTAGTGTTTAATAACATTGGCTCAAGGGAATTTCAGAGAGCTCCCATGTGCAGCGATGCCTCTGTGTTTTGTGGCTAATCCATGCTTTGGGCTAGATTGGAAGCGTGTACCCTGTGCAACTGGAAAAGCAAAGGGAAACTTAGAAAGGAATGTTATACAAACAGTAACTTGGCTCAGCTCATTGAAGTTATCCAAGTGCTTATGAGCAATGATGTCTCTTTCATGCTTCATCCAACAAACGGATACTCAAAACAGGAGGCCTGTCTGTTGTTCCTTGTGGCGGTTTCTATGACATCCTATCAAACAGACATTGCTGCCGTCTGTGTACAAACCCTGTGGTTGGATTGAAACCAGCCCAAAGTAGGGACCTTGTTCCAAGGAAATCGCTGGGGCTGGGAGAGCAGAGGTGTACACAGAATAATACAGGTAGTGGTTAATGAGATGTAACCAGAGTAGCAGTATGAGGCAACACTTACTGTTAAATCCTGACTAACAAATACCAGTGAGTTTAAAAGTTCTAGGGAGCTGCTCATTGCAGGTTAGGGCCCTGTGCCTAGCAGTTTGATTTGCTTAAGGTGAGTCCTTTTCCCAAAGCAATTTCCTGTTTCTTTTTAATTTGTGTGAGCGGGATGAGAACAAGCTGAGTCCAAATGCAATACATGACCATGAAGCATTCTTTTGAAGTGTCATCATAACTTAAGCTTGTCTGCAACATGTATTCTTGGATGTCCGGACATTTTTCCAAAGTGTTTGAGAAAACTTTCAATAACGAAAAAAATATACATTAGTTAATCACAAGATGCTGAGTCTTGTGTGCAGCCATGGTTCTGCCTCAGGCCTCTTACACTTGATGTTTGTTCTGCCTGGAGTATTCTCCGGTTTATCATTCCTTTTTTGTTGCTGGCAACCTCTCTGCCACCTTCTTCAGGCTCTATTTGAAAATGACACCCTTTCGAAAGTGGATTTTATTTTGGCCATAGTATCAACTGAGTCTGCCTTGTACTTAAGTAATTACGTTCCATAAAGATAGTAATTTTCACACGCTTTGTTTACTTCTGTATCTTGATCATGCATTACACGGTCTGGATATAAACAGATGTACAGCTAGTAGTTATTGGATTTATGAAAATTGTCCCAGAAACCATGCTAAAAAGTGGTATTCTCAGTTCTACTACTCTCAGCTTCTTGATATATGACAAAAGATGAATACTTAAAGCCAACAAAATTCATTTGCTGCTTAAACTTGTAATTAAAGTCAGATTTAAAGAACTTACATAAACTTTCAGCGTATACAAAGATTTTTTTCAATTGCACAAAAATATAGGCTCGGGTTGTATCTAGGTGTGACAGAAGCAAATGTATCAAGCCTGAATTTTTGGGCTCTGAAGGTCTTTTGAAGCAGAATGATATATTTGAAATGATATATATGATTTTTTGACCATTTTTTTGGAGTTTGTGCCATGTGCTTAGTGAAGTATTTAACATTGGGAAAATGGAACAGAATTCCTATAAGCATTTTATGGAGACATGAAAAATGCATATTAAATGTGAGCTGGAATATTGCCTGGTTAAATCAACATTCTTCCAAAAGAAGACACTGAGTTCTCTGAAAGAAGATATAAACTCAAGACAGGAATATGGATTTTTAGTTCAGTTTATTTCTATGAATAACAAAGGGCTCAATGTGTGGCAAAGGCCAATGAGCAGGTGTAATAAATGTTTTAGGACAGACCCAGCAGATGAATCAGTGAGTCAGACAGCTCTATACTATGATAGAAGAATAGCCTAGGGCCCGTTACAATGGACTAGTGGCTGAAGTTCTCCCCTTGAACACGCTGGGATCCCAAATGGGCACTGATTCTAATCCTGACTGCCCCACCTCCCTGCTTGTGGCCTGGGAAAGCATTGAAGGATGGTCCAAAGCCTTGGGATTCTGCCATCGTGTGGGAGAGAGACCTGGAGGAAGTTCCTGGTTCCTGGGTTCAGATCCGCGCAGCACCAGCCATTGTAGTAACTTGGGGAGTGAATCATCAGATGAAAGATTTCCCGCTCTGTCTCTTCTCCTCTCTGAGTATCTGACAGTTCAGTAAGATTAAATCTTTAAAAGCAAACAAACAGAAAAATAACCTAATCTTCCAACACAAACTCCTCTCTCCTGAAGGGACTGCTTCTTAGTGGAGTGACTTTACAAGTACCATCCAGTTTTTTGTTGCCATGGTGAAAGGTTGAGCCGAGGGACTGTAATTCTGTCGTCTGATTTAAGGGCCTGACAACAGTAGCAGGACAGAAGGATTTACACTGGTTTTTGCTGCCTTGGTACATATGTTTTAGAGACATTCCCTAGCCATCGGCATATGCATGTATGAATATGGCTAAAGCATACTGTTGTAAGAGAAATCTGCTCTCTCCTGCTGTGCCCTAAACCCAAGTATTGACCTTCTCAGCTGCTTTGGCCTGGTTCACATTTTCCTAGGAAGAAATATTATCCGTTGTTTTCTTTGTTTCATAGATTGGTGTAAGGCTCATTTCCAAAAATCTTCCACATATCTTTCCTTTATGATTTTGGCTTAGGCAGGAAAAAAGTGTTGTAAAAATAAAGTATTACTATTTAGTACTGCAGAGAAAGAGAGAACTGAGGTTGCTGAAGTGCTTGCTAAAACAGCTGTTGTGGCTTTCACCACTCTGCTCAAAAGTGCTAGGGGTTGGCAGATGCATATGACTTGGAATGCATGCACCTGCCCAATGGGTATTAATAGAGACAAGCAACACATTTCTTCTGCAGATTGCGAACAAAACAGCTGCTCTATGGTAATGTCCCAGAATGACTGTCTGCTGCAGTCACCCCCCCAAAGCAGTGACCCCCAGTCAGAAGCTTACATTTTCCATTATTGAGTTTGGAGTCGTCCAGTCTTCACGGGTAAAAGTGCAGCTTTTTTTTCTATCAAGCTTTGATGCAACCTGATTATTTTTAGAAATCATTGCATTCAGTGTGGGGTTTGAACACAGTTGTCTTCACAAAGGTGAACTAGAGAACCTGTGATGCCAGGTGTGACTTTGGTAGCTCTGAAAATGTGATGAACGAGACTGAAATCCATTTTGAAGTAACATGATAAATTTAAAAGTGAGGATTAAGACTTAGGTAAGCTTACACTTTAATGAACAAAATGTATATACGTGTGTGTGCTTATGCATGTATTTGTGCTATATAGTAATACTATATGCTTTTATACCTTACTGACTCAAGCCACTCTTTTCCTTTTCTCTTTAATTTGTTTCTCTTTAATAATTTATCTTTGTTCCTTCACTGTTCAAAATCAGGTTTTAATTGGCATTTGATTTCTACGGAGGAATCCGCTGTCAAATGCAGATCCCTGGGCCAGCAGGACCCGGGCCTCCTGCTGCAGGAGTATTTCTGTTTCCTGCCAGCTGTCAAGAGAAGGTGCTCCACTGCCTTCAGGATCTCAAATTACATTACAAGCTCTACTGACCTGAGGCGTCAACTGATACCTTCGAGTGTGATTTTTTTTTCTCCCAGAGTAGAGCTCTGTTTTTGTCCTTGAAGGCTTTATCTGACTCCTGACGTGAGGAATGTATCAAGGAGTTCACTAGAACTTGAACTTTGCTTTTTCTAAGAGTTTGTGATGAGAAATACATGAGTGGTCATTTCTTTTTTTAAAAACAATTAGCTTATTCATTTTGTGTGTGTTTGTGTGTGCCATTTATCAACTATTTACTGGGTACCTGTAAGCCAAGGCCATGATGTGGTCTATACATATTAAATGCCCTGTAAGTACCATCTTATAATCTTATGGCAGTGTTTTTTTTCCTAGATTTATATTGTGGCATATAAAGTCTTTTTTTAAAGTACCAAGATTACCTGTGGATTTCCTCCATTTCATCCACAGGAAATTTTTATTATGTCAATTTTTTGGATAACAGTTGACATTTTATTAAACACATTATTAGTCCCCCTAATAT